TATCTTATCATTTACTGCAGAATTCTCCTGTGGCAAGTCTGATGATACAAGTCTAGAAATTTCATCCTGCTGGACTTCTGGATTTTATTTTTCTTTCTTTCTTTTTTTTTTTTTTTTAATATTAGAAAAAAGCAAAGGATAATAAAATCTATAATTATATGAGATCAGTTGCCAAAACTGAAGAAGACAGCAAAACTGTAATATGTTAGAAGAATGCCATGTTTCAGAGAAAGTGCTGATTGAGATCAAATTTATCTTCAGCTTACATTTTTATTGGACCTAAGCTTAGGGGAGGAGGATTATATTTCAGAAATGGTGCAAATGTTGCATGTTAATATCCTATGTTTATTGCCACTTGAAATTACAGCACTGCTTTGAATTGCTGCCAAGTCTATAGTAAAGACTCCATGGTAATCACTGTGATTATTCCAAGTTTTTGTGGTAATAGTGGGAAGAAGAAGTATGATGCCTAGACTACAGTAGCCTTAGCTGTCAGCATCTTTTTCTCCTTTGGGGTTCAGGATGTGATTCTACTCAGCAGAGGGAACAGGTAGACAATACACATTGGCCAATCAATCCTGAAAGAGAGATTAAATAGAAGTGGGTTTAATCACATTATTTTCAGATTTATTTAGCTTTTATATTTCCTAACTATGTCACTAACTTCCTGAAACAAGAAAAAACATAGCTTTTCTTTATTTACTTGGAATGCTTTAATTCCTATACTGACATGGTGTACAGTTTTTCATTTTTATTAGAAATCTCTTTTGCTCTCCTTCATGTTGATGTATATCATAGCTTCTTTTTATTGACTTTCTTGGTAATCTATGGGATATGTTTTCACCTTGAAATATTCTTTTACCTTCACTTATCTATTGGAAGTTGTAGGTATACACTTGATCTAGATGTATACCCGCATATTACTGTGGTTTATTTAGCAGCTGATGAGAAATTAAGAAGTGAGGTCAGGGATAAACAGCATAACGTTAAGCTACAATTTTTCTAAAAAGATATTAAGACGTTGACAAAGAGGGAGAAATGCTACTTAAAAAGCACAGTCTGAAAGAAGCTTAGGTGAAATTTAGATGTGATTAAAATCTGTTCTGGTTTTTGGATACTAAATTATTCAAGCAAGTAGTTGTTTATTCTGAGTTAAAACCATCAGCAATCACTTTAAGCCAGCTCACCAGATAGTATGTCCTAGTTGCATCCCTTCATCTGTTGCTAGTAGGAAAGTTTTGGTATTTTTTGTGTTTACAAAGTAAATAATACTTGTTGTGGAAAGCATTTAATGTGGGGACAATATTTGTTCTGGAATATTTTCCTCAGTAAGTAGTACTAGCCAGCAGGCAAGTCTGAACTCCCTGTGTGTTAGCTGTGGGGAGCAAATCTGTATGCCTGGCACAAAATCATCGGTTTAAACTGTGGAAATATAAATCAGAGCACTGAATGAAATTCAAAAATATTTCATTAAATGAATTATGATACGTGTGTGGATAAGAGTATGGTTAGGGACTCTCTTGTGTATGCTTAAATGTCTACAGTCTTCAAGCTACATTTTTTTTCTCTCAGATTTAACTCTGAAAGATGCATAATATATATTTTTAAGGACAGCATTAGCAAATCTCACAGCGTGTTTGCATTTCATTATATCTGACATTTTTCTTCAGACTTACATCTCCAGAATAATGTTCTCTGAAAAGCTGTTTTCTGGGTCCTTACTGTGGGTGAGAAGCAGATGTGCCTACACACAAGGTTCATCAACAGTGACAACGACTCAACTTTATAAAATTGGTTCCTTTATTATTTGGAAGTCAATATTTCGGTATTCTTATAAGATTTACTGGGCTGAAAAAAGATAGCAGGAGTTTCAAACCGTAGGCAAGACTACCCTTCTCTTCAAGTACCTTTTCTGTACTTAATTTGTCTTAGTTGTATATGTACGTATTTAAAGACATAAATAGAAGGGAATGTAGATAATGACATTTCTGGAAATTATTTGGACTAGAAGACAGTATCCAAATGTATTCCAAAGAATTAAGCTTTCTATAAAGAATTAGTGCTGCTTCTAGTGATGCAGCATGGAAGAACTCGCACACACTGCATGCTAAGCATGAATCTCATGACCAGCCTTGTGCACAGTCTACATATTAACATTCAAGGGCATACCTGGGCAGGAGCTTCATCAGGATTTGTTGAGATCTCATTGCAGCATTGCATGTGGAATTTGCTTGGCCCTTTCACACAAGACCAGGTGTTTCTTTCTGTAATCTCATTATTAGCCAGCAGGTTTGAACATTAAGTATCTCAGGTAGAATGCAGGTTGTTTGAATTCCTTTATTTCTAAGGAAAATAAGATGTTTGAAGCCTAAGCTGCAGTTAGCAATGTAACAAGGAAAGTACAAGTCTCCACGATGAGCACAGGTACTTTTCTCAATGTTGTGATGCGAGCAAAGAGGAAGGGAAGCACACTATAACCACATTCAATTTTAGTCTGGTGTCAGGTCTCCTGCAGAGAACTGCTGAATGAAGATATTAAAGGAATCTTTCAGTTGTGTACCTGGTTTGTGAGCCATATACTTAGATTATATGTACTAGTAGATTAAACGTATATTGTCTGAAGGGTTTAACCAGGATAAAGAAAGCCATGCACATTCTGGATGGCACTTGTGAAGGTGTCATTTATAGCGGCCAAACAATAAAAAAGACATCTTCATACTTTTGGGTAAAGTCATAGTTAAAAATATAGAAAATCCTAGAAAGATTACTATCCTAGTAGCACAGCTAATCACCACAGATATGGCTTAATAAATATATGGTTTAATGGCTTAATGTTATAGGATGGGGTTTTGATGTGGATGAAATATATGTGTCTTTTTCAGCAATGTATTTCAATATGTGCTTCATTTGATATATATAAAAATTATGCAGCAATTTGTGAAACTGTGCATGTGTTTCAAGTACAAGTGCACATTCTTAAGTATTCACTTTTTCCCCCAAGACTAATAGTGGTAAAGCCCAGACCAGCTGTCATATCTGTGCAAATCATTAGAAATTTTAATTTTTTGGACTAAGGCTTTACTAAAAAAAAAAAAAAAAAAAAAAAAAAAAAAAAAAAAAAGACTACATAAAAATTGTACCATTTCTTCTAATATATTTACTTCCTTGTATTCATATTGTTCTAATGCTGTTTGCATAACTGGTTGCCATTTATCTCTTAACAATTTACGTTGACCATAATGCAGTGCTTAGGATTCTGTGGCATCTTCTGCAACATTTGCTGAGTATTTAAAATATGTTTTGATTGCAAGATTTTTATTTTTTTTTATTGTTTTCGCAGAGTGAGCTAAATAGAAGCCAGCTGGCATTTTGAAAATCTTTGTTTTGTTTTTGTTTTTGGGCTATCAGTGTGTAAAGGCACCTTTTTGCTTGCAAGCTGGGCCTATTTGGTCTAGAAAAGCAATAAAAATGAGTACTCATATTGGCATTTTTTAACTATGCTATGACATGTTAGTGAACTATACAAGGAGAGTGGTTAGGCCCTGGAACGGGCTGCCCAGGGAGGTTGTGCATGCCCCGTCCTTGGATGTGTTTAAGGCCAGGTTGGACAGGGTCCTGGGCAACCTGATCTGAATGTGTGTGTTTGGTGGCCCTGCTAGGCAGGGGGGTTGGAACTACATGATCCTTGAGGTCCCTTCCAACCCGGGTGATTCTGTTATTCTGTGTGATTCTGTGATTCTGTGAACTGCAAAAAGTGAAGAAAATGAGAAGAGTGTAATTCTGATTATGTGAGAGAATTTCTTTGCTACTGAAAGCTTGATAGGATGTTCAAACAAGAGAAGAGCTCAAGCTATTAATATATTTGAGTTGAGGTATTATCTGGACATAAGAAAGAAATGCAAATAACCGAGTTACTTACTTTTCTGCATCAAAGTACAGAGAAATAACAAAAAGGAAAAAAAAAAAAAGAAAGAAATATCTTTCTACTCAAAGAGTTTCAGCAGGACTTGAAGTAATGGAGAGAGACTAGAAATTAGTTCGTCCTCATGGTGAATATTCTGATATAACTATAGTAGTGATTAGATTTTTACATTTAGTATTTATGAATGCAGCCTCACTAGAAGAGGTAATGTATCTATATGAATATGTTAAAACGAGTCATTATTAGTTTTAACTTCTTTTAGGTTATCTCAGGATTTTCTCATATGGCATCATGAAGCTTGCATGAGGACCAAAATCTAAGGCTGTCACTCCGAGTAGAGATGAGGATTGTGATCAGTTTGGTGCAATTTGCAAGGGAAGTTATAGATTTTGAAGCAGGGAAGATTTAGGTTGCATATCAGGGGGAAGCTCTTTACCAAGAGAGTGGTGAGGTGGTGCCCAGAGAGGTTGTGGATGCCCCGTCCCTGGGGGTGTTGAAGGCCAGGTTGGATGGAGTCCTGGGAAGCCTGGTCTAGTATTAAATGTGAAGGTTGGTGGCTCTGCCTGCGCCGGAGTGGTTGGAGATTCATGTTTCTTGAGGTCCCTTCTAACCTAAGCCTTTCTATGATTTTCACATTCGTAGATTTGGACAGGGAAGATTAATAGGATGATGTCTTAGATACCTTTTAATATTTTTTTCCACACAAGTTTGAAAGATGGGGTATCACAGAATCACAGAATCGTAGGGGTTGGAAGGGACCTCCAGAGATCATCGAGTCCAACCCCCTGCCAAAGCAGGTTCCCTACAGCAGGTCGCACAGGAAGGCATCCAGGCAGGTCTTGAACATCTCCAGAGAAGGAGACTCCACCACCTCCCTGGGCAGCCTGTTCCAGTGCTCCGTCACCTCACTGTAAAGAAGTTCTTGCGCACATTTGTGCAGAACTTCCTATGCTGCAGTTTCCGGCCGTTTGTATGCACAAATTCTGACATTTAACACAAGAAAAAAATGAATAGGCTTTCTTTCTGTTTTAGAGAAAACAGTTTTCTAAGTGAATGTGTTGTTGTTGTTGTCTTTTAGATCATTCTTGTAAGTTCTTCCCATAATGACCGTGACCAAAGCCTTTTCATAAGCACAGATGAAGGAGCTACGTTCCAGAAGCAACCCATTACTTTCTTTGTGGAAACTCTCCTCTTCCACCCAAAAGAAGAAGACAAAGTACTTGCTTACACAAAGGAAGGCAAGGTAAGCCATGAACATATTCTGTTTGAAGTTTAGCAGCTGTGTCATTAAAAGGATATGAAACTTTTGCATTGTGCTGGTGAATGTTGGGGTTTATGAAAGCAGTTATTCAGAAAGAAGCCATATTCAGTGTTTGAGAAGCTTATTTGAATACTTATTTCGTTCATGTCAAATTTTTTGCTTTGTGGTAGTTTCAATCCTGTCATTTTCAATTGATATGGTTATTGGTACTATTTATCCTTCTGTATAAAAAATGCTGCTTCTGAAATGCACCTCTCCCTAGAAAATGACCATAAGCAATTGCTCATTAATTTATAACATAGTAGAAAGTTAATGAAGCTGAAATACTGCCTTCAAAGGCCTTTCATGGGATGTAAAATAAAATAAACTGTTCAATCATACAGCAGAAGGGTATTTAGGGAATCACCAAATCTGTAGAAACATAGAATAGTTCTCTCTCATGATATATTTATAATACATTCAGTAGTTGTATTATATAGTTTATGCATTTTGGCCATCTTTTTTTTTTTTTTTTTTTTTTTGGCATTTTTTTTTTTTTTTTTTTTTTTTCTGGCTGTATTATAAAATCATCTCTCTGGGTGGGTACCACTGAACACCAGTGAGTGAGCACACACTCTGTAAAAAGTGTCGTTCATCTCTTTTTCACAGTGCCCAAACTACAGCTTTAAAGTCACTGCTTTTCTGTTTCTGATAGTGCTGTTGCCTCACCTTTACTGTAACTCCTTTTTTTTAAGCCAAAATGAGACAAACTCCAGTCCATTTCAGTCCTTGTCAGAGATCACAAAGGGTTTATATATAGTTGGTGAGACTACTATGACTAAGTTGCTGCAGCCAACTGCTGCACTGACTTCAGTTACATTATATCATATTAAATTATATGACATGCTATATGATATATTATATTGGGGATATTTTCAGGGGTATTTAAGTTAATAGCTGATCCCCAGTTTGTATTCACAGGTATTTGCAAGTAAGGATGGAGGCAGTATGAAAAAGATTAACAAACCAAACACAGTTTCTTGTCTCGTGGAGTGTTTTATTTACCAGCTTGAATTCTAACTCGTAACACAATTAGCCATTACAAACGTGATGAATACCTGTTATGTGAACGACATGCCTCAGGAAAGCTACAAGTTGTGAAAAGCCAATGTTATGAAAAGTGCCATTTTCAGTTTGACTTTTGTTTCTAATGATTGACATAATCCCTGAGTTTTGTTTAGTTAGGAGATCAAATGACTCAAAAAATGAAGTGGCAGATTTTTTAAGTGTCATAGTGTGATGGAGAACATTGACCATCCACACACAACCAGTCAATAAAAATATTTGCCAGAAAAGAGAAGGGATTAGGAGCTCAAAGCAAGGCATTTCCTTTGTGTTTTGAGAAATCACATGTGATATGGAAGTTTTCAGGCATTTTATACATGGATAGCCTCCCAAAGTAGTGATAGTATTACTTGCCACATTAAAACACAATCGGACAAAAAAATACAGAGCAGTCAATAAAGAATAACTTTTCAGTAGTAGCAGGTACATTTTAGTTAATCTAATAGACTTCTCGCAGGGTTTTGGTATGACGCTAAAGAGAGTCAACCATAAGGACATACTGGACAATCCCTGCATCTTTACCTGAGATGTACAAGAATGAAGGGTGCCTTTGACTATAACTGTACAAATAACCTGCCCAGTTGTATAAGGTCCTTTGTATAAGATCTGACATATTTGGCCTAGCAGAAAGAGGAAGATGGCAAAGGAGGATTTGAAAATCAGAATTGTGGCTTGACACAAAGTCAGTGTACTAAAACCAAAGATATCCAGAGAGGGTGTTAATCTGAATTTGACCTGGGGAGATTGTATACTTTGGATTTTTGAGTTAACTAATACTATTTTCAATGAAATAAAATCATATGAATCAGTGCCACGATCTAAAACTCACTAGAATCCATTCTCTCCTGTTACTCAAATGATTTCTTGCAAAGGCTCTTTGCAGATGTATCAGAAACGTGGGATTGTATCCTTTGTAAACAGCAGTCATCGAATCTTCTCTGTCTACTGGAGCATTGCAGCCTGTCTCACAGCTTCTGATTTGATTTACTTCTTATTCTCTATTGCAATATCAGCATTGTTCTTTCATTCAGAACCCTAGATTTTATTTAAATACAGCTCTAGCCTCTGGCTGACACTATAAATGAATGCAAATCTAGTCAATGTAGTTGGACTAATCCATTTACTGCCTCAAATCTATACTCCCTTTTTCTGGCTATCTCAGTTGTAATGAATAACAATCAGCTATTCACTGAGTCTCGATAAATTCTTTTTGATTTTTAAGACTCAACAGAGATATGGTGGATTTTAATTGTTCACTAAGAGTCTGTAAGGGTGGGAAAACTTAGAGGTACATTTTCCCCAAACCATTCTATGATTCTATGATTTTCAATTTCTTTTAAAAGTGATTCCTTACATCTATGAAGTGAGCAATAAGAAGCATCTATTAGAAGTATTTTCTGAAGCCAGAGATTTTAGCTGGTCACTGTTTCCACTTCATCTATAAACTTATTTGTTAGTTTTATTGTGTGCACCTACTATAAAGCAAAGCCCACATGGATCTTTTTTTTTCATTTCAAAGAAGCCGAATGCTAAGGTTAGGTACGCATTATTTTTTATTTATTTTGAATAGTATATCAGTTAAAAATCTATCTTGGTTTTGAATATGCCTTCTTATTCTTATTTCATTCTCTCTTTCAGTCAGACTGTAAGGTCTTTTCACTACACCGAACCAAACTGGTTTTTGTCTTTGCATCAACTAGGTCAATATTATTGTAAGCACTCAGAGTCCTGACCACAGTTTCTTACCACAGCTGTGATTTGCCTGCTTTAACTGATTGTGCAGTGGAGTAAAGCCCAGTAATTGTGAAGTACAGAGTAAGTAGGGAAGAGGATGTTTTAGTTCTAACTCAAATTTAAGTAAATTTACCCATGGAGTTTATGTTGAGGGAAGTTATCTTAGGTTTTACATAGTGATATAGCTATTTTTCTCTAGTAAAGATTTATTCATTGCAGTTTTTTTACGTTTATCACTGAACTTGTAATTTTAAAACAAGCATTTTTTTTTACTAATCCTCATATGACTCTCCCTAACAGTTGGTGACTGAACTGGTGAATTATTGCCACATCAAAATAGAGCAATTTTACTTGCATTTTTTCCCTGTTAGAGATATTAAAAGAAAGCCTATCAGATGTAAATTGGATTAAATAAGAAATGCATGTAGACAGCAGGGGGCTCTAAGCATGTCTTCATAGAAGTATGGTAGGTGTTTGCTAATTTAAGCAGAGGAAGCACATTATGAGATAATGTGAAGAAAATAAAGAAAGGAGATTCTTAAATAACTGCTTTATCTCCCATTTTATGCAGGGAAAAAACTGCTTTCATGTCTACTCTGTTGATACCTGTCCATATCGCTAGTATTTGCAGGGATGAGCTGGAGAAGTCTTCAGAGGGAACTGCTGCCTCTATTTAGTGACCATTTCTCACCTTTCCTTATCAAATCTCTCTAAAATTTCTATTCTATTTGGTCCTATTTTAGTAGAGTTTTCAATCTAGTGACTTCCTGTCTTCAGTGTGTTTAGTAGAATTAAAGATTGAAAAATAAAAGAAGCAGTTGTTTGTTTTGTCAGTGGATGGAAAGGAGAAGATAAGTGTCCTTGTACCCCTCTCTCTTTTGTAACTTTGCTGGTATCAAAAAGAATCTGATCTGAAATTGATTATGAATTATTTTCATGGTAAACAAGTAGATATTATCACCAAGTTTCATTCTTTGTATATTGTGTTTTAAAAGATTTTCTCTGTGAAAAGGTATTACTGTAAAAATCGTTGTGGAGAGTTCCTGGAAATTACTTTTTTATTCATATGCGATCATTTCAATAGTGACATAGACCTCTCTTTAAGATGTACATCATTAAGTTTCCTCTCATCTGATTTTTCTTGTTTTGTAGGTTTATGTATCCACTGACTTGGGGAAAAAATGGGTCCTTCTTCAGGAACGTGTTTCAAAAGATCATATTTTTTGGTAAGAAAGCTGTTACCTTCCAGATTAAAAAATGAACAGGAAATATATTTCATTCTAATCAAGAAGGATATTTCCAGAGGTACCAATAACAGCAGCAGGACCCTTCATGTCTTTCGCAAATTCAGTATGTCAGCATTGCTGCATCCGCTATTGCAAATTCGTACTCAGCAGTGACTGTGCTGAGTGTCAGTGTATATAGGGGTTACAGGTCTGGATCTATGGAGCCAAAGATTAAAGAGAACTGTAATGTCCAATGAAATTGCTTTTTGTTTTAGTGGTAAAATTGATCTTTAGAGAGGAGAACAGTCTTTTCGCAGAGAAAAATCTATAACATTTTTTTAAGAAAGGTTGAATCAGACCTTTTAACTGGAGTCGTATATAAACTTAGGAAAAGTGATGAAAAATGTGATTATAGAGTACACATAAAATTGTTTTATTTTCAGGTCAAATATTTGGCTGTCTCTGAAGATGCTTAAGAAGTGATTTAAGCAGATAGAATTTTTTTTAAGGATAAACCAATGCATATATTTCCTGCAAGTAAATTATTTGCAAAATATGTAACTTAATTTAAAATTAAACTTTGCTGGTATTTTTAATTGATTTCACCTTTTGAAGTGGTCAATTTGCACACTTCTATTTATTTTCTATGGGAAAAATCCAGAGAATGCCATTTCTCACATTTTAGTTCAATGTGTTAATAAAGACTGTGCATAAACATATAATTATCAATTATTAGTATATTTTTATTGCAGAACTAATCATAACTTGCTGATCACTTTCCTTTTCCAAATGGCTTTTGATTTGTTTTAGTTCTAGAATTGTCCTTGCAGAAATCATGGGATTTCTTCATACTTCCAAGCACTTGTTTTGTTCTGCAATCTCTTTCCTATCCATACTTTCAGAAAAACAGCCTCCGGTAACACCACTCTGATTTACTCCAGTTTGTCTCAACCTTTTCTGCTGAAAGATTAGAATCAGACTCATGCTTTTTTGCTCCTGTGAAACATATCCTTACCCAAAAACTTGCTACTGCATATAGCAGCTGGAATGTTACAGGCAAAATGCTTCACTCTCAACTACCATGCAGATGGTATAATCACTTAGAAGTTACACTGTGGGTCAGAAGTGTCATATCTGCCTAAGTAAAATTGCATAGAATGTAAACTAGGAAGACATTCAGCTCAATCTTTAATTAAATAAACTTTTAAAATGCATGCAGCCTGAAAACCATTGAAGTCACTAGCAAGCACATGCTTAAGATTGTGTCTGTATTTTGCTGTATATCAGAATCCTTATACTTATTTATAGCATTCAGACACAATCAGGGAAAGCATCCCAGAACTTTGACAGAAATAACTCCCGTTTTTTATTTCAAAAAAATGTTTTTACATAAATGTCACATTCCTCTCAGTTAAGAGTAATAAATTCTGAGAGCTTGTACATTTATAACCATTAGAAATAATTTGTAGGTTTTTCTTTACCCCTTTTCTGTGCATAGATCTCTCTGACTTTTCTCAAGAATTGTATGGGCCAGCAACAGCAAGAATTTAGGGGCAGATGTTTAGCACTGCCCCCTTCTATTAACCTTAGGAAGCACTGTATCACGTGGGATGTTGCAATACAGAAAGAATCTGCTGAGAATGGAGGGTTGCATGTGATGGCATTTCTGTGGAAGTTCTTCTGTCATTCTAGAAAACTTTCTACTATTACAGGGCTTTCATCACCTGAGTTATCAGAGGGCTGGATAGAAACCAGTGTTTGTGTAGTATTCTAACTTCTGTAAGAACATGAGCTTCATCAGGCCTTGGCTACTGGGGAACTCTCAACTGAGTCCAGTGGATGGACCACTCACTGGAAATGGAATTAACTGAATGGCTGCACTCAGTTGCGGTCAACAGAACAGTGTCCAAGTGGAGATTGGTGATGAGTGGTGTTCCTCAGGGCTCAGTGTTGAGACTGGTGTTATTTAACATCTTTGTGGGCGACATGGACAGTGGGATGGAGTGCACCCTCAGCAAATTTGCAAATGACACCAAGCTAAGTGGTGCAGTTGACATGCTAGAGGGAAGGGGTGCTATCCAGAGGGACCTAGACAGACTGGAGAAGTGGGCCTGTGCCAACCTCACGAAGTTCACCAAGGCCAAGTGCATCTGGATCAGGGCAATCCCAAGCACATATACAGATTGGACAGGGAATGGCTTGAGAGAAGCCCTGAGGAAAAGGGTTTTCAGGTGTTAATTAATAAAAGACTCAGCATGAGCTGGCAACATGTGCTTGCAGCCCAGAAAGCCATCCATATCCTGGGTTGTATCAAGAGAGGTGTGACCAGCAGATGATTATTCTGCTCTTGTGTGACTCCACCTGGAGTACTCTATCCAGTTCTGGGGCCCCCAACACAAGAAAAACATCAGGCTGTTGGAGCAGGTTTAGAAGAGGACCATGAAGATGATCAGAGGGCTGGAGCACCTTCTCTATGAGGACAAGCTGAGAAAACTGGAGCTCTTCAGCCTGGAGAAGAGAAGGCTCCAGGGGTAATTTATAGCAGCGTTTCCAGTACCTTGAAGGGGGCCTACAGGAAAGTTGAAGAGACTTGTTAGAAGGGCATGTAGCAGCAGGACAAGGGGAAATGATTTTAAATTGGAAGAGGGTAGATTTAGACTAGATATTAGGAAGAAATCCTTCACTGTGAGGGTGGTGAGACACTGGAACAGGTTGTCCAGTGAGGTGGATGCCCACTTCCTGGAGGCATTCAAGGCCAGGCTGGATGGGAATTTGAGTAACCTGGTCTAGAGGGAGGTATCTCTACCTATAGCAGCAGGGGTTGGAACTACATGATCTTAAAGGACCCTTCTAAACCAAACCATTCTATGATTCTATGAATATGTAGCATCTGCTACATTAAAAGCATGTGAAATGAATTAAAATTAATTTCTTATCTCTCTACGAATTACGGCATGTGTCTTGCTGATAATGGCTGGTTGTGCTGAGCCCATTTTGTTTTCTTCTTTAGTATCCACTAAGCTTTTCCACAATGTAGAGGTTGACAGGATAGCCCAGGATTTTTATTTCAGCCTGGTAACTACAAATATCCAACAAAATATTTTCCTGTGCTTTTCAAAAACAATTTCCTGCTCCTGTGCCTCCAGCAGCAGTCGGATCTTCCTGTATTTCCTGAAGAAGCACTTTTTTTACCCACTGAAAATCTAAATGCAATGAATTTAATGTAATGTCTTGTGTATTTATATTCTGGGAAGGTCAGTGGGGACTGAGTAGTTTAAACTATTTATGTTCAGATCTTATACTGTAGGTTTATAAGCAATATATTTAAATAATCTTCTAGGCTTTATTTACTTTTCAAGTATTCTAGTCTTTCCATTAAGTGTTTTTACAGATTTAACGTATGGAATTTGGTCTTTCATTATAGTGGACCCTAATGGAAAGATTATTGATATCACAGGAAAGTGTATGCTATCATTTCTGTTTTAGCAGCACAGAATATTTTCATCCATATGTGATTTAGTGTGGCTATTTTTCCCCCTTCTCAGCTGTTTTCCCAATTTATTTCATTTGTATTTTTGGACAAGAAAGTTGACTAATCCTTCACAGAAGTTTTACTTCCCTTAGCAACTTAGCAGGCAAAAAAAAAAAAAAAAAAGGGCTAGAGAGTCTGCAAATAGATGTAAAGATGGCTGTAAAACTTATGTATTCTGGACATTTATTTCTTTTTCTTTGTTTGGAAAGTTGAAAGGAAAAATCAAAATATAAGGAAAAATAAAATTAAAAAAACACTTTTTTTTAAGTAAGCTTCCATGTGGAAGTACTGAAAACAAATGCTCTGACATTGTTCATTGAGAAGCTTGCTTAAATTTTTCAAGGGAAAGTCATGACATATGGATTTGAAATTAAGTTCAAAAATTCTGTTTAGTATCATTGCAATTAAAAACAAAATACTTCATTTTGTATAAACACTTCTAAAATGGTTATTTCTTCATAAGTACTAGCTGAAAGTTTTATTATGTGAAAAGTTTGAATTTTGATAAAATTCTTCTGCTTGAAAATTAAGAAAATTTTTGTTACCGTGACCAGTTTTACTGCTGCATTCAAACTATCACCAACCGTTGCTGCAATGTGGAAATTTCTATTGAAGAGGTGTTGATAGTGCCTAACACTTGGAAGTACTTTTGTCAGTTCTTATATGTCTGTCAGAGAGAATGCAGAGAACTCTAGAAATAGAATTCTATAAGCTGTCCCAGCAAAACATTGAACGCCCACATGTCATATGGTATGTAATTGGTTTTATATGTTGAAACTATTCTTAAAAAAAAAAAAAAGTAAATTATGTGGTAATGGTCCAGAAGAAGAAAGAATTCTGCAATTTGGGATTCTTCTGGCTCTTCTGCAACTCTTTTTGGTCTCCAAGGATTATGCACCAGTCAAAACAGAGCATAGAAATACATAACGGAAGCATAGATTGTGAATCAACTGTCTATGCCAACACAAATATACCCCAGGACAATAAGTCTTGACTTAGTAATTTCTAGAGAATTAGGTCAAGCATGTTTTCACTGACATTTTGTCTGGAGCCTTAGAAATGGAGTATGTGGATCCTGTGCTGTATCTGTCACTCTTATTTTTAGATATTGGTTCTCCATTTTCATGTGAGGTGCAAACATAAAAATAAAAAATGAGCGTATTTGGGTAGGGCAGCTGTTCTCTGGAGATGAAGTTCTGTTCTTATCGTGAAATCCCACATGAGCAATCAGTCATAGCTGTAGCCATTAATGTCAAGTGCAGCAAGTTCCTGCCTATTTAAGTGTCAGGTGAAAGAGTGGGTTTTAGAGGTGTTATGCCCCAAAGGAGAGAAATGGAAAGAGGATTCCATTGAGCTTTTAATGTTGAATTTTGTGTGAAAGGCCCTAGTGTGGGAATCCAGGGATCTGCATGGGCAATCATTCTTATGTTTGACTTAATCACTTAGGACAATATTCGTTCCTATTTCTATCTGTCTGGTGATGGGGCTGGCAGTGGTAGTCACATAACAGTGGCAGAAATAATATTTTTTTTATTAAAAAGTATTTAGGAATAGGGAGGAAATAAGAAGTAGCAAACATTGACTGTGTAAGGTATCGACTGAGTCATTGCAACTGCATGATTCAAAGCAGATATGAAGAACATAAGGCCTGAAACATAAATCTGTCACAACTGAATGACTTCAGTTTGTATAAATCAAGTTGTAGCTTTGTCTCCGAGTAATTAGGTTGCCAAGAGTCAACTCTGTATTATGTTACTCAGAGAAAGCATCTATGTGCTTTCAACTTGTTTTCTAAGCAAGAATTCTAATGTGAAATACTAGAAATCAATCAGTGCAAACTTGGAACTTACTACCTTTTGGATAAAGTTCATATTAAGGGATTATAAAGGGTGCAGATAGAGGACACTTGCAAGTATTTAGGCTGCCTTTGTTTGGAAACTGAGCCACATCAGCAAGCAGGTTTGTATTGATTTGGTTTTGTTTTCATGTGGTATATTGGAAGATATCCCTTCATTATTATGCATTCAGGTGAACTGGATTGAATATTTGACAGTGAAGAGACCTACTGGATGCAGAGGAGACTCTAGATGGTCAGTGTTTTCAACAGCTGTTTCCCTACAAAATGAGGCCAGACTGCAGAAGTAAAATACAAAATCATAATTGTCATATAAGAGATTAATGCTTATGATTCACATTTTGAGATGTGTGTTACACATCAGTGGTAAATTTTATTCATATTACTACATAAATCTGAAATTCTAGGCAGGCATTGGTGTTCTTCTAATATTGCATGCAACTGGAATAAGAAATTACTGGGGTAGTCTGGGAGGAAGAGAGGTAGCCAAATAAAATAGGAGTTTATTAAAATAATGCTGAATGTCTGTTAACTGACATTCTCAACAGAAAAATCTAAATTTTTTGTTCTTAGAATTTTAGCATTATTATTTAAAAATTAAAAATACCTAATGTCTGTATCACAGAGTATATATTCCTAGGCAGACAAAGGCAGATGCAGAGACCTTGTTAGTCCACTCCACTGATGTACATCATGCCTGCACCTTCACATCAGTGAGGCAACTTCACATCAGTGCACCACAAAACATGAATGTCTGGCCGCATGATCAGATGGTTTCAGAAATGGAAAGACAGTCCCCAAATTACATTCTGATGAATTATCTTTCCCAAGAGGCTCAACGTGGTGTCAGACAGGCACTGGTGCTAGCACACAGGAGGTGATGAGAACTTGTATTCACAGGAAAGGGAAAAAGCATATTGAGGCTGCCTATATTTGCACCACCCTGCAGTCAAGTCAGGCTATTTTCCTTCTGAAGTGTTGTAACCATAGTATTATGCAATTGGAAGTGCTGACATGTTGCACTTGCTTTATCCAGCACAGTATACTTGTTAAGAGATATTTCATTTCTAAAGGAACATTTTTCTGGTCTAAAATTAATCTGCTTCTTTTCACTGGACTTTTTAAGTGTTTAGTGTAAAACATGGAAACAACTTAAAGCTGAAGATTCCAAATTCAGTGGCAAGCCCTCTTTTACCCACATAAAGCAAACAAACGAAATGGTCTTAGACTGCTGAGATTTTAAAACCTTAGTTGCAAACTGCTGTGAGAAGAAAAGGGAGTGAATTCTAACCAAACCAAAAACCCTGCTGACATGGAGATAGTCAAGTCAAATAGTTCCCAAGAAAGTGCTTCTTTTACTAAAAACTTAAATTCCTATTTGAAAAGAGAATTTGATGGTGGAACTCAACAAACAAGGAAGAACTGATATATTATTGGGATCATAATGGTGTCCTTTTTTTTTTAAACGGAGGAAGAAAGGACTATTGCAAAGAATCCGTGAAATTGGGTGAAAGGATTTCGGAGTTCCAAACTGTCTTATAGCAGATATATAAAAGCATACTTTGTGTGTCTAATATCTTCAGTGAGTAAACAGCTTGAGGAGTTACATCTTACCTGTGTAGTTGTAGTAATATAAAACACAAAAGCTGACTTTGAAAAACAAATTGGTTCATTTATTCTGGATAAACTTTCCACTTAGAGAGTACATCTCACCCGCTAGACATATCTAAAACTAGATATCCATGGGTATAGCTTAATGACATAGAGAGAGAGAGATTGCTGTGGCTTCCATCTTTGCAGGGCTACCTTTAAATTAGGCAGTTCCCAGCACTGGGACATGGTTAGCTCAGGGGGATATCAGAGGCAGTGAAGGAGAAGCAATGCTGAGGATTCAGAAGGGGAGCGGGTTAGGCTGGTAGAACATTGAGCAGAAATACTTGTCAAACTGCAGCATGGAGTTGTCACCCTAACCCTTCTATATAGTCAGTGGACATCACAGGAGGTGATCCAGCTGGTTTCAGAGGAGAGGAATTTACCCTCTGGAAGTAATGGTTCTCTGGTTCAATGAAGGATAGTTTCAACAGGGATTATAAGGGAAGTGTCAGAACTTCAGAGTGAAGGAGATATTACTTTTTCCTGTCTGAGCTAAGAATCACTTGCCTTGTGATTTCTTTTTCCACATCCACTGAAATAAAAATCCAAAGGAGATAAGTAAATCTGGGTTGGAGGCTGTCATGTTCTCTGTATGTGCAGTATTCATTGACACAGATCAGTTGCAAACTCGTGCACTACAAGACTGCATTGGAAATGAGATTAGGCATCACTTGTGCCAGCTGCCATTGTTAGGAGGAACATGGTAGGGATGAGGTCGTTGTCACTTTTGAAAGAAGTGTGAAAAGTTGAAGATATTGACAAGTATCTCAAACCGTGCTTATGTGTGATGAATTAGAGATAGAAGAGGTAGTTTCACAAGTACCATCAAATTACTTCTGCATTATTGATGCCAGTCTGTATGTCAGGCTGAGCCTTGAAAAATTTCAGCCCTTAAGTTTCTTTTAGTTTGTAATTCAGCTGCATGAACAAAAGATATTCAGCAAATATCATTTTCTTCCTTCAAAGATTTGACTGCAGAAGAGATAGCAGGTTTGATCTGACGTGATCATCTAGAAGAAATAGACAGTGTACACTGAGAAAAGTAGCCCACAGATCCTTCTGTTCAGATATACTCTTATTAGATCAAAGAGAATATGTCTTTTTTGATTTAATGTGTTGTCTCCAAAATGCTATAATAGGTTTTGTTTCTGAGATTATTTCTTTGTAAGTGCAGGACTTTTCCATACAACTACTAAATAATTCCCACTGGAAGTTTCTTTCACATCTTATGGCTTGGCAGAACCTTGTTCTTCTTCCTCCCTTTCCTTCTTCAGACTGGTCATTTATCTTATTAGGGAAAAATGACAGTGTGATTATTTCTGGTTGTTATGCAGCAGTGGAAATCATCCAGTCTCTTCCCCCTGGTCTGCATTCCCAAGGAACCACCAATTACTGTGTCTGAGTTTTCTCCACTTCTCATAAATCAGTTATTAAAATAATTAAACAGTGATGTAATTTCAATGTGAAACTTAGCCTTAATGCATTTGATTATTAATAACTGTATCAAAACAATCATTTTTCTCTAAATAATATAATGGACTTTTTTAATATTTGCATCCACCTACGCTTTGTTGCTTAATGCAGCCCTTTTACATGTCTGCAGATCACATCTACTGGCACGATGGGCTCTTACATTGCGCCAGATTCTGCTTTGTTTTGCATGACTGTCAGCTCAAAGCTTTCTCTGTAGAAACTGCCTGACTAATGACAACGTAATGTCCAGATTAAGCCACAGCTGTGGCTGCTGTTCTTAGGTTGGGATGGGAGCCCTGAGGGCAGAAAATTCATCCTTTGTCTGAGCGTATTTAACATGGGAGATATTGAGAGAAAATCAGCTGGTATAATCGGTACACCTTTTCAGTGTTAAATTGTGCCTTGATCAGTTCTGACTGAATTTCCTTCTTGGGATATCCTTCTCCAAAGTATTCTTCGTTTTCCTCCTTTATCAAAGCAGAATTTGCTCTTCTCTTGAATATACTTAGCAAAGATGTGTCAATTGGTTATGGAAGGCGTGTGTCAAATGCATGACATTTCTAATTAGAATAAAATCCACATATTTTCTAGCCCAATATCTGTCTTGTATTCTCAAATGTCAAAGGTAATTGTAACAAGATGCTCTAAAGCTTTCCAATAAACATGTGCATCTCTGTGCTTATTTATAGATAAATTTATGATTATGAAGTTTTGTTTCCAATTTCATACTGTTTCTGTTATTTTCTCCAATTGATATTGGGATCCTACTTGTATGTGTATTTTAGTAAGGGAAATTTGAAAGAAATTTAAGAAGAAAAATGTAGTATCAAACAGACAAAATGGTTTCCATCTAATGTTTGTAATATGACGTTTTTACTGGAGCTTATTTTGATTTCCCAGTTAGAATGTTAAAGCTAGTTAGTATGAAATCCTCTCTTTTCTTCCATCCACGTAATTACTATTCTGTAACTGGCTCTGCATAACTTGATTTCATTATGTTCTTAGGGCCGTTGCTGGAGTTGATGGAGACCCTGATTTAGTTCATATGGAAATTCAGGACCCCAGTGGAGGTATGCAAATAAAAACATTATCAATTGATTCCCCAGTGCATAGTCATTTCTCTCTTGTTTTGGGGGATTTTTTTTTTTTTTTTTTTTTTGTTAGAAGAAGTAGAAATCAGATTCTCTGTTTATCTGTAGTCAGTAAAGCTAAAGCTGTCTTGTTATATAAAAATATAGTTTAATTTGAAATTTACTTTTTTTCCACTCTGAGACGAATTGACGTCAAGATGCTATGCTCCGTTGAAAATGTCCATTAATAGTGAAATTTGTTTTGGCAGTTAAACATTGAACATTTTTTCCTGATTTGCAAATAAAACTGGCAATGTAGCGTTAGTGCTGGATAAGTGTCTGTTAAAGTGGATCGTTACATAGCAGTCCTACTGAACTAACCACTGTCTCCCAGAATTTCCTCATGTTACAGCATCCAGTATACTTTGAGACTTCAAAAGCAAAATAAATGAAAAAAACAGAATAGCAGTCAGGATGTGCTGTACTAAAATGTCACCATGATTCCAAAAGTTGTATGAGTTCTCATTGCCAATGAACTCTTGAAAGATGATTTAATTCCTTGAATCAGGTCATCTAAATTCCTGTGTGGTCTTATAAATTAGTTGTAAATGATGCATAATTTGACTTTCCTCAATCCAGTACCTTGTCTTCATTTCAGCCATATAAAAACACAGAGTTAACGTATTAAAATCTTGATGACAAATTTTCTAAACCTTTTGTGAGTGAGGATTCTCAGACTTGCTGAGCCTCCACAGCCCCATCAATTGCTTTGTGTGGATAGAGTGTAAGAAGTTTGTTTAGGAGCTTCATGGAATTTATGCATATATTTACTTATTTTAATTTAATAGAAACAGTAGAGCAAGATAAAACTCATGAAATATTTATTTCCTGAAGTTCTCAATTAATCGACCTTGTGCAATTAAGATCAATACAAGCATTGCCATTGATTTTAGTGGAAAGAGTATCTTGTGCAACTATGTTTGTCCTGTAAACTACAAAGAGCTGCAAGACTGTGACTGCCCCTTGCTGTAGTTGCTCAAATATGCTTATGAAGAGGACTTGGAAATAAGAAAGAGAACTTGAATCGACTCTAGCTGCCTTTTAAACAGATCCAGATTTTAAAACAGATATTTGTGTTGAGCACACTGGTTTGGCCTTTTCCAATAAAAAGCCGTAATACATGAAATGCATTTCCTACCACATTACAAAAATAATGAAGGATGTGCATGTGGATGTATTATTTACTCTTTCACACTGGAGCATGGAGAAATCAGTAGCCTGAGCACAAGATCATGCACATAACCATTTTCTCACTGAGTTTGTTAAAGTCGTAGTTTCTACTCAGAGGCTTGTGGCATGGGTGAGCTGTACACGTGCTTGAATCTGGAAGAAGGTTGTTGGGCTGCAGCTGTTGTAAAATAAGATCCTGACTCTTCTCTTGCTGTTCAATGAGAGCAGATTGCATAAAAGATGCAGCTTGCACCTAGCTGGACAGGAAGAGAGAGGACATAGACTTCACTGATATAAATCACTGCAGGCTTTTTCAGGAAGGTATTAACTCACACTATAGAAGTCCTGCCCCAGCAGCACAGTTCCAATACTGTCTACACAGCTTTGAAAATAGCCTTTAAAATCCCATACCGTGTCTATTAAACTGTGTCTGATTCTCTTCTCACTTATCACAATTTTATACTGAGACTGATCTATTGATTTCAGTTACACTGTGTAAGGATGCTGCTTCTTTAAAGGAGTAATTTTGCTCTGTGCATAGGTTAACTGAGAAAAGAGGCTCCTTCTATTATCCCCAGCCATGAATGTCTCATTCATCTAATCCCTAATCTCTCTGGACCAGCAAAATTTGGATAATGACAGCCTTCCTCCCACGAATGATCTGAACTGTAAGCAGTTAATGTATTCTCAGTACACTGGAGATTGAAAAACACTTGTATGAGGGCTTAATATAATAATTTTGCAACTAAATCGACTGGCAAAGGCAGCACTATCTCTACATGAATAGCATTTTATACTGCTTTCTTCTCTTTTCCTTGAAAGCCATGTCATGTGTTTCTGTCTCTTCCCTCAGGTTATCGCTACATCACTTGTCAGATTCAGAATTGTTCTGATAAGACAATGACAGTCCAGTTTGCTGGTGTCACTGATCGGGATTCCCTGACTGTGCAGGATGACTACATATTCCTTCAGGTAATGCCACTTTCTGGGGAGACAGTCCATTTTAAAATTCAGAAATACAGTTTTAGACAATAGCGCTGTGATGGAAAAGAGCATGGAGAATCCTGTTCCAGAGTATGAGTGGTGAGTTATGATTTATTACATGGAACCAAGCTGTTCTTTATCAGTCAAAAAAAAAAAAAAAATCTTTAATTTGTGCAGCCTGTTGACTACATACCCAGTTGATTTTAATTCCTCATTGACCTAGCTTCAATTAGACAGCATTTTTCAGGAGGATTATCTAGTTTAAAATTACTTTTTAAAAAACCGTTGTTTGTTAGGCAGAATACATCTCTCCAGGGCTTATGCTTACACTGTCTTATGGGTCCCTTCCATATCTCTGTAGCATGTAAAGGTTCCCTGAGAACAGTTTCAAAGGAAAGCCACTAGCAGAGCAGCAGGTCAGCTTTTCCATGTCACAGAATCACAGAATCACAGTCGATTATCCTGTGAAGAAGTGTTGTTGGGAAATAAGCTATATGACTGTGCTTAGGATCCAAAAGGAAGGAACAGCCATAGCTTGAAAACAATTTGTGATGGAATTATGCTGGGGTTATTCAATTTTCAAATAATGTAATTCCTGGCATCAGATTAGATATTAGGAAAAATTTCTTCTCAGGAGTGGTGAGGTATTGTTAAAGGCTGTCCAGACAGGTGATAGAGTCCCTGGAGAGATGTTCAGGAAACATGGAGATGTGACACTGAGAGACATGATTAGTGCACATGATGGTGATGGATTGATGGTTGGACTAGATGATCTTAGTGCTCTTTTCTGACTTCAATAATTCTATGATACTAAACAACCTTGCCTGCACAAACCTAGTTTGGAGCTCTGTTGACTTTATTGCACCACACAAGTGCAGCTTGAGCAGAGCCGAAAGTATCGTGCTTGGGACTGTCTGGGGTTTGAATCTGCCAGAGCTGAGAACTTCTCAAAGAAAGGTTATGTTCTACCTGATTTTTAATATTTTCTTAGGGAGGCTGTGTGTACCTTTCTCAGTGACTGGCTATGATATATCTCTTACTTGGGTATGATCTGCTTGTCTGTTTCTTGACTCTTGCAGGAAGGCAGTACAGTGTCAATCAATACACACACCACTACCTTGGTGTACATTAGACTGACTTGTCTACAGCTTTCCCCTTATGGCTATTTCTTCCGAAAAGATTTGTCAATTGATAATGAGGCAGAAGATTTGTACACCTTTAGGTCAGCACAGCAACTTCAAAGACCCACACAACTTAAAACATTTAGCACTACAGAGGAGTGAAATGGAGTTAGAAAAGAATTTTTGAATTCAAGTGGGCATTTTTCAGCTCAAATCTTGCATTCATGGCACCAATTTTTCTCAAAGGTACTATTATCTGCGACTCCCACCAAGCACACTCTAAAATCCATTTCACAGTTTGTAGATGGTGAGAATTGCATCTCACCACATATAGTTACAGATTGCTGTGCTCAGCAAAAAAAAGACTGCTTCCTCCTCAAGCATATGTGTGTTGCCAGATACCTTGTATAATTGCATCCGGAGCTGCTGTTATTCTGTCATGTAATGAGTCTGGGCAAAGAAGAAATGGAGGTGCAACTTGGAAACGTGTGCATTAAATACTGGACAGTTGCTTTTGCAAAACTATGCCACTGGTAAAATGGTCTCTGTAGCTTTGAGGTCTGTTAATGCCAGCAGAAGATGTAAACACAAAGGGGGAACATCTCTAGTCCTTTCCTTTTAGACTTATTGCAGTACATCACAGTATGCACTATAAATCTTGCTTGTTGCTTAGCTGGCTCACAGTTAACCACATCTATATTACCAAGGAACAGAAGATATCTCTGCGATCTTTTAGTCACATCTGAAATGCAGCCACCTTTGAGGTATGGTGCAGTACATCGCTTTTGGCTTTGCCACTGAAACCACACAGCAGTTGTGCATCTGAGAAACAGCATACTTCTGAAGCCACATGAAAGTTCATTTTTCACTAGGCTAAAACATTGCAATGTAAGTAAGAATCAGACCAGGGACTGCTCTTGATATCATAGCAGTATCTGTCAGAAAAAAAAGATGGTCAGTCATCTGTGTAGAAAGAGGAGAGCCTGAGATTATAGTGTTGCCTCAAGTGTCACTCATCCACCCCAACTGGCAGCCGTGAACCAGAGCAAGGCAGTCTGCAGGACCAGTCCTGTTCCTGTTCACAGGCTTTAACCAAGTACTCAACCCAGTGTCTTTGGTATGTCTATATCCGTGAAGATGAAGAGCTTTCTGGCACTTGCTGCTTTCTTTAGTTTGCACTGACAGCCAGGCAGTTTTAGAGGTGATTTTAGCAGGTTGATTAAAATTTTGAGACTATTTGTAAGACAGACGAGCCTTTAATGTCAGCAAGGCTTGGCACAACTAGCTCCTTCAACTCTAGTCCTCTGCTGCTTTCCATCATCCCTTGTCATTTAAAATTAGTCACATAAGATAAATGCATAATGAAAAAGGAGGGTACTGTAAGATGGATAAGACTGATATTTAACACTAATTAAATAAATGGTGAACTTTTTGCTTTAATCCATCACTTAACAAATCATATTCTTAAAGGGCATCACATCCTTTCTACCAATAAAAAAGACTGGTTTAAAAAAAACAGTAAAATGATGATTACAGTCTTAGATATTTTTAAATATTAAAGCAAGTGGGCCTGCTATCATGCATCAGCTCTATTAGGAGAAAAAATAAAAAAATAAAAAAAATTCAGGCTTACTTGCTTTGGGATAGGCTGTTCTCCAAATCAGGTTCATTTTATAAACACATACTTCAAGAATGTGATAACGTACTGCTAAATACTGTGTTCAATGTGGCAAACACCATTTGATTTAATTAGGAGCTTTACCAAGCAGTTAACTGCAAAACCTTGATTTTTTTTTTTTAATCTCCTTTTAGTATTATGGAAGCCACAGTGAACCTTCATTTGACATGTATCTTCCCTGAATTAGATTAATTTTTAAGGTTTTTTCATAAATGACATTGAATTGCTGCCTTTCATTTAACCATCAGCTTGCTCCATTTATTTCCTTCCTTTGCTCTGATATGACTTACTTAGGAGGTTGAAGTGAAAACAAATGAATAAAGAGTCTCTTAAACTGTTATCTCCTCTATTTTTCTGTCTCAGTAAAATTTCATTTGTCTGCTTGAGCAAGGTAGTATCCATATTTGTAGAGAATGTGAAAAACTGCCATAAGAGTATTTTTCCCCCTGGTGGTTTTGTCATACAGCATTTTGGCATTCATTTCTGGCCACGGTGCTACTGAGTATTTTCAGCACGGTGCATCAGAACAATGTTTGCATTGTTTTTTTTAGGACTTATGCAAAAGTTTTAATATTACCTCTATATTGCCTATTATAAAGTGGAGAAAGTCATTTGCTGGTATGCTTTTCAATGTGCAATTCTGTTGGCTTTCTTAGGTGAAAATCTTCATAAAATCCCAGATAGGAAACGTAATTTGTCTTCAGTTCTATACAAGAAAGCAGTTGAAATATGTCTTACCTCTGTGTTTAAGCGTAGAATTGTATCTTCAGGACATGTAATTGATTTTCAAACTGGCTGACTGAAGATGTGGGAATTGCATCATTGTCTTCTGTACTGCATGTTAGCATCTTGCAGTGGGAAATGTCTCATCCTGCAAGGCAAATATTAGGCAAACATAATGAATGCTTTATATAATAGCATGGCTTATTCAGTCTTTTATGCTTATTTGAGTAGTGTTGCTGGCAAATCACTTGCCCTTGAGGCATCTAGTGTTCACAGCCACTGTACCACCTTCTTGCCTCCTGTCTGCTGGCAGGGGATTTCCACAAAAGGGCAGAAACGTGGGAGGCTGAAGGATGAAAGTGTAAATAAGTTAAAAAGGACAAGGCCAGTGAGATAGTGACATCTCAGGTATCACTCATAGCAGATGGACTGACAAAAAGAAGGAAGGAAATTACTTTCTTCTTTCTAAAGAGAGGGAGACAAGTTTGAGTATGCTATTTTCCCACAACTTCAGATATATTCTTTTATAAGCACACTGCAAGATAATCCAATACAGTAGAAGTAATAGCTATATATTTCAGTTCCTTGCTCAAAAAAATAGTAATAAAAATTTCTAATACGAACCATCAACTACCAAACAATTCTGTTTTTCCTTTATATAGACAACATCAGCAAATCGGACCAAGTATTATGTATCCTATCGTCGAAATGGCTTTGTGCAGATGAAGTTGCCAAAATATGCCTTGCCAAAAGTAAGTGCACACATTTTTCTTCCTACTTCTGTATTTTTATTCTTCTCTTTCCACCTAAACTAGCTTTACTCATTTCTTTCTTAAACCTCAATGATTTAAGACGATAATTTCTCGTTGTAGTGGATTTCTGATTTGTGGTATATTCTTACCCTACTGTTTTTATGTTTAGTGTGGGGAAGTAGTAGCTCTAACCATAGAGAGCAAGAACATAGGCTAGCCTATATGTCATCAGATACCACAGTAGTTTCTGAGCTCTTTGAAGCAGTGCTACACACCCAATAGCAGTACAATGCCAGTGTTCTTTCAGGAATGAATTGCAATTTAATTCCATGTGGTGTTTTTTGGTATAAGTATAATATAAGAGAGTTTCAGCAGCTGATGATGCTCTATTTCATTAAGAAATCCCCCATATGAACTTTAATTACTGAAAAGAATGGCAGAGTTTTTTTGAGAGTTTCCCTAAATCTAGAATATTTTTATATTTGCACAGTAAATTAGCAGTAAAGCACAGACAGATATTTCTATGCAGTCTGAATGATGCAATTGAAATTTTGTGCTGCACACAATATGTTTCGTGTTTTTCTGTATACTTAGAAGGCGTCTGAAGAAAAATGACTTAGCAGCTTTTGTAGACCCAGTGGATAAAACCCAAGTAACGTGGCCTCCCACTTCATCCTGCCTCTAGCAGGGATTTATTTTACAGACCTCCTAATGTTATATTTTAGGTGGTTTTGTGTGATTCCATTGCTTTATGTATTAGAGAACTAGGAAGTACCATCTGTGCATATCTTGAAATGCACTAGTTCAATTCACTGACCAAGCAGTTAATGACAATGCAGTACAGTTTATTTCCTTGCTTTGTTGCTACTCTTGCAAAACAAATAATTATATATATTTTTTAACTAAGCAGTGGTCTGAATACTTCTGCTTTTAAGTATACAGCATATTAACAAAACTCTCAACTAAAATCCTCAGATATTATTTGGACATGAATCTGAGATTTGGCTACATTCCCAGTAGCATTACGCAGATAGCAATTTATTGATTTATTTATTTATTTTGACAGGCAATGGATAGTCAAGGACAGGTAAATATATCAGCTCTCCCACATAATTACTTCAATGTTTCAAGGCCTTCAGTGTACCCTTTTATGCTTTCTTGGGGGAATTTGTAATTAGGAAAACAACAGGGGGATATCCAGATGTAAATGTTAAAATGTTCCAAATGTGGGCAGTCTGATGGATTACAGACCACCAGCAACTTCTGTTGGGGGCAGGGACCTCAAGTGCCTGCAGCTTATGGGTGGATGACCTGCACCAGGGCGAAAGGAGCAAGGAGCAATAGAAGAGTGGAATAAACAAGGAAAGAAAAAGAAGGAACTCCTCTGGCAGATGACCCTAACTTCCACTCATTCACAGCCTATTGCCTCTCTGAAGTAGTCAGGAGGGGCTGAATGAACATAAAATAGAAACAAAGAATGTGGAAACAAAGAAAAGAGGTGTTCAATTGATCTCATACTGGAAAGGAAGGGTGTTTACATCAGTGTTTAAGTGTTCATGTTTTCTTATTTCTGAATACCCAAGTAAATAATTAAAATTACATACTAATTGTCAGTATATTAAATCAGTTAAAATTCTCTCAATCAGAATGTTTTGTCCAAATTCCTGAAGAACTAGCAGCACAACAGTGCAAGTGTTGGCTATGTTAGCTCGTGTTGTAAAACCATTTTTTGTTTGGAAATGGAAGGGCAGACATATTGTGCAAAGGAGCCAGCCATTTCTCCACAACTAAATGAGACTATTTTCTGGTTCCTGTAGGCATCATGTTTGTAATGGGTTAGTTTTTGTCATTGTGAAGAACATCAGTAGATTTTGTTGAAGGGCTAGAGACAAGGAGTGAGGGATCTAGATCACTCTCCGATGGAGCTTTCGTTAGCTTTAAAACCAGTTTAAAAGATCCCTCTCCACTCATTCATTACAGTTCACTATGGCCTCTGTTGTATTTGTGGGGTCAATCTACAGAAAATATCACTGAGATCAATGATCTGAATAAAAAATGGTCTTAGAAAAAAAGTATAAATTATCTTTCAGAAAGGAAGGTCAAGAGGCAGCTTGATTATTGCGAAGAAGCCTCCTTCTTTTGAGAAAGTACTTAATATACTTGAAAGTGCTGTAGAAGAGAAAGATGGACCCATAAATGGTAACTGAAGCCAGCCTTGTTCAAATTAGAAACTCTGCTCAATTTCTTATTAGTGTTGGTGATAAGTATTTGAAAAAGTGCCAAGAAAAGTGACAGAAATTCTAGATATTGAAATTTTAAAATTGTATCTAAATGCCCTTCAGGGGGATTTGCTCCTCCTGCATGTCATATGTTGTGCAGAAATAATAGTTGGGAAAAAAAACGAAGAGCAAACTCTAAGAGATCTAATCCCCAATTTTAGCCTTCAAATCCATTAGTCTGTAAAAGATGATTAGTTTACTGGACATGTGATCTTACTGAGTGCATTTCTGACACGTTCAAAAAGTGTCAGCCATAACTCACTGCTGTTTCTGTCTTATGTAGTCTAGATTGTTTGAAATAACCCTGAATACTGAATTCTTTGTCCTTGCCAGTATCGTTTATGTTTATTTGTCTATTCTTTTTTCCTTCTAAGGAGGTTAACTAGAGGCTTGGCTGAGTAAATAAATTAGAAGTTAACAGTTCCATTTTGGAAAGAGTCAGGGGCTAGCTAGGAACAGATTGACTGTTTCATTTGGAAAAGAATGTTTTTATGTTGTTCCTAGTTGAGGCTGTACCCGATGAGTGGAACGAAATATTCTGTATATCTTTAGCATTTTGATGATGCCTTCAAGAAAGTTTCTTTGGTATCTGCTCACAACAGAGCTGAAAATTTCACTAAGAGGGCCTGGAAGCCAGACATCAATTAGAGCAGCAATGAATGTGAGAGATTTTAACATTTTCTGTAAAAGATATATTTTTTAAAGTGATTTGCTATCTCTTTAGAGATCAGCAGAAATGTTGGTTACTACAGAAAATAGAGCAGCTCTGAAATTTTTTATCTCATAGTATTTCAGTGAGAGTGCAACAAAGATGTGTTTTGGTCCAATCTGGGCAGAATAGGAAAGATAAATATGAGCAAATTATGGGAGAAATTTTGCAAAGGAGCGGGATATCAGCAAAAACACTGACACATGAGACTTCAAAAAATCATCTTCCAAATGGTATCTGTGATGTGGCATGTACCTGCCCAGAGATGGAGCAGTCAGTGTCCATAGGGAAGGGAAAACTGTACACAAGTCAGAGAGTACTACAGGATGGTCAAGGATTTGTCTGAAATCATCAGAAGAGCCCCCTCTGGAGCCCCAGGCTCTCACCTGAGAGAGTACTGCTGGACTTCTCTGATCTTGTTCTTGTGCAGCACAGACGCATTTTACAGTAATTTTATTATGGAGATAGAAGGAGCATTTTCAAACGGAGTAATTTAAAAATGTTGATGTTTTTGTTTTCTTTTGATATGAAGAGGTTGAAGATCTGCAGAAAATTATTCCTTTTTTTTTTTTAATCATTTTTATGTTGCTTTTATTTGCATTTATGTTTGTATTTTTCCAAACATAGCCCCAAAAGAAAAAAGAGAAAAGGATGAAAGCACTGTATCTCAAGGCCTCCTTACTCATCTATCAAAGACTGATAGAACCAGCCTTCAGCAAAGTCTTACATTTTCTAAACTTCATTTAATTTGTTCTTTCTTTCCGTCTCCGGGTCCACTGTGCCACTTCAGGCTGCTTTTTTGTAACAATAGTACCTGTGTGTGTACAGAACAGAGCTGGTGGTAGTCGTCTAATGAACAGAAATCAGGGTTTTTTTAGCTGCTTTTGAGGGATTTTCTGTAGCATGTTGGATGTTGACACCACACTGAATCACACCACTGTCTCATGTACTTTGCAGGAGTCATGTGCTGGCCATGAGGATCTGTCCCAGGGAATTCTAGAGAGGTCCCAAGAGTTTCAGCAATTCAGATTGAGCTGTTTTCAGCCTGGAGCAGGGCTTTAACTGCTACCTCTGGCAGGGTGGTTCTGCTGAGGGGTGCTGGGTGCAGCCCCACCAACCACCACACTTGTCTTGCACGAAAATCCCTTCAGCAATGATTGCCCTTGTCTAGGGGAGTGTGCTTTGCAGGAGTAGCGTGTTGGTTTCTGATCCGTGTTTATTATATTATCTCCTTTTTTGGAGATTCTCAAGACCTGCCTGGATGCTTTCCTGCTCAACCTACCTATTGGTAGGGAACCTATGTTAGCAGGGAGTTGGGCTCTCCAGAGGTTCCTTCTAACCCTTATGATTCTGTGATGTGAAGTTGTGCCTTAACTAATACTGGAAGTGGAAACTACTTTATTCTTGTGTTAGCCAAAAACACTGACTAAACCAAGACATCTGCTACAAGTCATGTAAACTTTTACTCTTGCAGTTTGTAATTAATTATTCTGAGTCCCCATCCCACCTCTGGAAAATAAACTCTATTGGTATGATCTCCTTTTATGATCTGAAAGAAGGCATTTATTGTTATTGTATTTGTTCCATGGTGCCTACAAAAACTTAACAATGGAGTAATTATATCCTACTGCAATTCAGAAAGTAAATACTTAGTTCTGCAAGGATATGGAGTGAAAGAAGCATATTTCATTTATCTTGATCTCTGTGTGTCTTTTCTATCATATTATATTATGTGAGCTAGGCACTAAAATTTTTTTTGGGGTAGCCAAGATTAAAGAGAGATTACAGGGAATAAATAAAAACAAAATAATAAAATCCTATTACTTTTGAAATAACTGAATGTCTTTAATGTATTCATGGTAACATGAATTTTCTATACACCCTTTTTGCTAACTGAATATATTCTGTTTACTTGATTAACACCTAGTGCTCTAAAGGGCACTAAACAGGCCTGTGTCTTGACTCATTCTGGGACATAAATCACTATGTTAATCACGGGTTTTCTTTCAAACTTCTGTGTCATTCAGTAATAGATATAATGCTATCAGGAGTAAAAATTTTTGAGCTGTTTTTCCTCCTTCTCCTTAAATAGCTATCAGTCTGTTGAAGCGTGTATTCCCTGCTCTGTCAAGCTCCCTTTTCATTACTGTTTTAAGGATATACCTTTAAATGGATCCATTCATTAATAGCAGAAACGGCAGGAAAGATTCATGCAGCCTTTTTGTCAGCAGGCAAAACTGTCTTGAAGCTGTGGCTGTGTTATGGTTGAATTACTAAGTCTTGGGACTGTGAGAGCTCATTTAGCAACTGGTTTATCCCCCAGGACTTGTTTTGCCGCTTGGGCAGCCCCTACGCCCAAGGGAGGCTGTTTCTCCATGCCAAGCAACAGAGCAGTGTGCAGCTGCATCTCCATCCTTCTGAAGTGATTTTGGAATGTCTATCAAATGTAAAATAAAGAGAAACAAAATAGAAATGCGGGTAGTGGTGGTATTTGATGCAGTGATAGTATTTGTTTCCCAGGAGGTGTCATGGCACCAGCAAGTGAATCTCTGCTGTAGCAGCCATCGATCTGAATGGCTCCAAGTTGTACAAATCCATCGGAGGTGGATTCAAGGAACTCTTCTTTTCTTCACAGTGTAGCTTGTTATTGATTTCTCGCCTTGCACCGTTTTACTCAGCCAGGCAAGGAAGATTAGGAAGATTATCTTTGGGATATGTGCCATCCTGTTACCTTGGTTGTACTTAAGAGATTACAGGGGTATAAATGTGGTGCATCTGGAGGTCAAGTCTGAGACTACACAGCTCTGAGTGCTTATTTCTGTTGCACTTGTTATAAATTCCTTCCTTGTGATTCTCTGTTTAATTTTTCACTTGCTTAGGTTAATGTCTCACGCAGTCTAACCATTAAATGTCCGTAGGGCAAGGGGTGGAATTCTGACATGAACTGTAAGATTAGAAAAACAGTAATTTTGAGTTTCTTTTATATTTTCCTTACTGAAGTGCCCTGGACAGTAAGTTCAGCCTAGCAAAACTTTCTGACTTCTCATTGTCATGTGCAGTGGGCAGTTGGGCTGATGGGTTGGAGGTGGCACACTGAAGACTCAGATGCTGTGTTTGTTCATCAATTTCTTCCTCTTAAATTCAGCATTCCAGCAAAAGGAATAGTAGAAGAGTGACATGACAGTCTTATTTTGTTTCAGCTAGACTTTAAAGAGTCTGTCATTCGAGATTTTAAGGGATATTGAAGAATCAGACATGAAATTTGCAATTTTCCTTACTTTTGTCAATTAATTTTCCCAGAGAATTATATCAAGACTGTGGGTAGAAAGTGTGGTGCAGGATTAATGCAAAGTACTGTAACTGAAGGACTGCTCTGCTTCCTGAGGGAAAAAGAAATCACTGCGAAAAGAAATAGCAGTAAGGCTGCACTGGAAATCTGAAAGTGTAAATGCTAGATGAAAGGAACCAAGTTCAAGGAAGCGGAAAGACAATTTTTCTTGCTAAAACCAGGACTTGTTAAGTTGTTCCCTGATAGAAAGAGGGCATCAAAAAGTCTGACTGTATATCTCTTTCTTGGTAAGAGTCACAGCCATATGACTGCATTTATTGCAGTAAGGTACTCCAGTCAAACCACTCTTTCACCCAGTCTTTCCAGACTTTACAAAATTCATCTTTACCACACATTTTAGCTTTGGATGCATTTCTTCCACTGGACCTGCAGCTCCTAACACTGTTTGAGGATGGCAGCTGGTACCCCTGCAGCCGCTGCCTCCCACCTGTATGTGGGAATGACCTCTAAGGTCATTCTTTATTGCCTTCTTTGGACACTCCAGTGCCTCAATATCTTTCTCAGAGTGAGGAATCCAAAACTGAACAGAGTACTTGAGGTGTGGTGTCACCAGTGCCAAATAAAAGTATCTGCATTAACTGCAGTATTGCTTTTGTTCATGGCATAATTATGTAAATGATAGCTTTGTTGCAAACTGTGGCATCACAGAAGACTAATTTTTTTTTAGATTTCCATGAAAAAAAAAAAAACGAGACCAAACATAAAAACAAAGTACTGTTTATTTACTCTTTTCTCTGACTCTGTTTCAATTCTATTCCTACTTACAGGATAATCAGGGCAACTATCTCACACTGTAAATGGAAAGGTGACTTCAGTATTATGTGGTTTAAGGCAGGAGTTGAAGCCCTCATTTTTAAAGCTTATTTTCCCCAAACTTATATTCTCTTGACATTTTTGCTAGCTTTATTTCATATTCACTCCATCACCCTAGTTATTTTTTTTCCAGTTACCGGGTGACCAGCACTCTATACAATCTCCCTAATAAGTGCCAAGAATGTCATAAAGAATTTACAAGTTTTCTGCCTCCTTGACTAGATGTCACTTTGTATGTAGCCCCAACATCTGACTTTCTGCAACCTTATCCACTTGTAAACGCAGGCCCTTTTGTTGTTTGCTAAGCTCAACTCAGTGTTGCCACTTTCTGATTTATTTCTTCTGTTTAATATTAGTGTTAAATTATTTTTCTCATCTGTGTGGTTTTTTTGTCTGAGAACTTTGGAGTGAAGGAGCTGGAAAATTGTTAAGAAAGCTATTGCAATATTCATGCCTGAGATTCTTGAGAAAATGCAGAATGTTGACTCTTATTTTATTATTGTTGAATATTTAATTCAATAGGTACTGTTACATAGTATAACAGACTCAGTGCACAATATAACTACTTCCTCTGCGTAACTGCTGGGTCTCTTTTTGTTGTGTTATGTGCTATGGACAAAATATTTCTTAGCTGTTTGAGTACCTGAGGATTATTTTTTAGGTTACAGTGTTACAAAACTCACAAGTTTTCCATGGACTTGCATTCAGATCTAGGAAAATCATTCACTTTTCTTTTTTCCTTTTCATTCATGAATCCAAATGGTAGAATCAGTAGCATTTGTTTTCATGTTGAAAGCCAGAAACAATGTTTTTTGTTTAATTATTCCTGTAAAAACTTTCACACACTGATGATTTTGGGTCTTCACTGAGCTGGTGGGATCATCCCTCTAATGACCTCAAGCCAGAAGGCAGAGCCCAGCCACCTCAAACTGGTGGGGTGCAGCATGCTAGTTAGTATTAGGTTGGGAAATTACTGTCATCTAGCTTCCCGATGCATTTTTCCCTACAGTAGTATTCAACTTTTCTGGCAGACCTATTGCTTGTGCCACTTAAATGATGGAAAAAATAGTCGTTTGTACCTTCTTTTCCTACAGGATTTACAGATAATCAGCACGGATGAAAACCAGGTATTTGTGGCTGTTCAGGAATGGTACCAGACAGACACATACAATCTGTACCAATCCGACCCACAAGGCATTTACTATTCTATCCTGCTGGAGAACGTCCGGAGCACAAAGCAGCCAGAAGAAAATGTCCTGATAGATATTCTGGAGGTAGGCTTTTAGTTCTTCCAATGTCTGTGGTCTAGGTGGAGTTTTCATTCTTTTATTTGGATTATGAATATAAATAATTTTCACAGTTGTCTTTAATGTAAAAAGGCTAGGATTTCTTTCTTGCTGTATGGCTTTTTTTCTTCTCCGTGGTACACTTCCTGACTTGGAGTATCTTAGCAAGTAGATCTTTAAATAATAAACCCGAGAGCCTTGTGCTAGGTTTTGTGTCACCTCTGACAAGTGAAGAATCAACAAAATTAAATACTGGACAGCAAATTCACTTGCTTTCACAGGGTGTATTGTGCCAGCAGTGTTTGCTATGTGATGCTATCTTATGAACAGTTCTATCTTTGATCTTATCTCTCGTGTGTTTCGCGAGATAAATGAATAAAGAATATAGCGTTTTGGAAGGCACAAACTTGTCATCAATTCAATTCTTCCTGCTGCTGACTTCCATGTGAAGCAAGTACGTTTGCACCAGTTTTGTTCTTTCTTACAGCATATAGTACTGACCATTAACAGGATCTCAAACGACATGGACCTTTCTTCTGACCCACTTTGGCCACTGTTATGCTCTAACTTGTCTGGTGTTAGTTTTCTGGTGGTTTTTTTGTTTGTTTGTTTTGTTTTGTTTTGTTTTTGTTTTGTTTTGTGTTTTACAAACAGGTCTTCCTAAATGTACCAGCCTTCTTGTGGAAACGGTCAGCAGTAATTCTGATTACAAGTATTGCACTTACAGAGGTGCTAAATGGCTCTAAATAGGCTCTTCTTGGTGGGAACATGATAGCATTTTTTTTTCCCTCCTTTATCTTCTTCATCATTGATTAGCTTTTTCTTTTCAAACAGCTAGAGTAAAACATTTACTAATTACCAATTTACGCACAGATTATTTTCTATGCTGACCCTATTTAGAAATAGAACTACTTTAATGAGTAAAGCTGTAAATTGTGTGCCACATTCCCACAGGGTGATATACTGGGAGCAGTATTTTGCAGCTCATTGCTTTTGGTCATTCCTGTAGGATGCAAAGCCATAAGAGATTAAGGTACTATCTCTTCTCTCAGCATCACCTAGAGCACATCAGTTGTGTGGAGATGCCAACTCTCACTCTCCTTTTGTCTGCAACAGTTACTTATTTAATTCAGTGTCACTCGTAATTTAAGAATTTCACAGTGTTAATGAACAAAAGTGAGAGATCCTAGATCATTGTGTACACAGAATTAATTCATAAGGTTGCATTAAAAAGAACATGTGCAAATGATAGAGTAATTGAAAGACAGTTCTACATCTTTAGAATTGTTTTTGGAATTAGGTTGCATCATAGGAGGGCAATTTTATTTGTTTAAAGTAAGAAAGCCTGCAGCTTTCAGATAGCTTGTAAAATAAACATAGTGTTTGTCTTCTTTACTAAATAGTGATCATCTATTCGTATCTGCAAATAGCATGTGGATTATGTACACTTTATAGCTAATAAAGATAAGTTGAAGACGGTGGGAACGTATTTTTGGGTTCTTTTTTTAATGTACTTTGATTTTCGCTGTGGACATTTTTATGCATGTATCCCATAATTGGAACAGAAATCTTTAACACAGAGGTGATCTTCAGTGGTTGACAATTTCCATCAGTGTGTAATTGTTAACATTTTCACTGTTGTTCTTCATTACCTGTTGCTGTCTTCACTTCATCTTTTGCTGGTACATCTACTATAAGCTCTTTTACTTGTCTGCTTTTATTTTCTCTTATGTACATTGTCTTCTTTGTACAGTATTTCATTTCTGCTAACGTTGCAAATATGATGGGGAATAATTGCCAGATATTCACATCAAAGAATGGCAAAAGTATTAACTCTCCAAAAGCAGTATGCCTTTGAAATTTGTATCAAGTGCCGCTGACACGACTCAGTCACAAATTTGACTCAGTCATATTTGAAAGCAGATACCCAAATGTGCTACTTCTATACTGGATCCTGTTTTGTTTCCTGTATGACTAAGAGCTCCACAAGTTGGAGCATATATTCTCCATGCTTACTTTCTTGCCTAAACAGTGACTCTTAGGCATTTAAATTTTAATCGCATATTGTTATATAACTGTATTTTTTTGTATTTCAGTAACTGCTGCTAATAAACTCTGTGGGCCTATCTGAACACTAGTAGCAAATACTGTTCAACTGTTACTAAAAGAAAAGTGCAGTAATTATTGTCACAGAATACAAAGCCACAACAGTGAAAGTGTTTACACAATTGGTTTGTAAGGTGCAAATGACCTTTCTGAAAGTACTGAGGAACCACAATAAGAAAGTGGAAAAACAGCTACACTAAAAAAAATCAAAAGAAAGCCAAAGGAACGGCGTTCTTGAATTCCCTGACTTGTCTTACTCTAGGAAACTACTTTCATATTTTAGGTAGCTTCTGGATTGAAGCTGAGTACTTAAACACTCCCTGGTGTTTAAATGTCCTCTTCTGCACAGCATGTTGTTTGCTATGCAACTCTTTTCCCTTCACTGTAGAAAGACACTAACGTCCCACTTTTAGACCAGGAAAATAAGTCAAGGAGTGGAAAGTGACAAAGAATTTCTCTGTCTCATTGTCACAGTTGACTCCAGTAGGTAAATTCAACATACAGATCTTAAAATATTTACAGAAAATTCAGATATGAGATTCCAAAGGTCACAAGACAAATATATTGGAAAGTGTATACAGTGGTAGGGAGGTTTTAAAGCTGCCAATGTTATGCAGTGTAGTTACCATTTTTATTTTTATTTGCTCATTATTATTATTATTTTATTTTTTAGCTAATGCACCACTCCAAACCTCATTGTTCTGAACATTCTCTGAAGACTGATGCCTCTTGAAACTCATTATTTCAAGTAGAATTTATGCCTTTCTTTCAAAACAGTGCTGAAGTGCTGGTCAGCTTTTATCTTTTAGAGCATTGGTGAGGTGTAGTTAATTGAGACACTGAAATTTTTTTCATGATATTTCTGTGCCTGATAGGATTCAAACTCCATATTCTGCAGAGGTGAGGTTACCCTAGCCCCTTGGCTGGATTACAGATGGGAATGGGAATGAAGAACTTTTTCAGTCTGATTCTCACTGTATGATTATATGGAGCGATTGATATTTATTAAACAAGACTGAGAGAAGAAAAAAATATTCACAAAGTATTACTGTTTTTGCCATCTACAAAGAAGAGGGATTCCTCCCTTGCAGTCCTTGATCTAATTACTGCTTAAATATTTAATAGTATTCACTACAAAAAATATATGCACAGAAATTGTAATGCAGCTCTACCATCCTCAGTACATGTTTGAACTGCTCAGCATTCATGTTCATGCTCTCTTTGGAGGAAGGAATGCATAATAAATTCCCAGCAAGTTGAAGTAGCTTTGACAGTTAGGAATGCACATTCCTTATTTTTTCCACTCTTATCACCTGTATTACCATGCAATTGACTGTTGACTTGAGTCAATGCTGAGCTTCCAGCATCCTGGAGGATTAAGCTGATCTCAGGTACATGGGTTTTAAGGGGGAAGGAGCTTGTGAGAACTTTGGGTAGCAAAACAGTTATGGAAAATTTGATTATCTGGATTTAAATGTATTTCCAAGTTCTAGGGTATTACTGTAACCAACAGAATATAATCTCTGTAGACTTTGGTCAGTTCCTTAGAAAAAGAAATATATTTATGAATGATAGAGATCAAATCTTTAGCCTGCTGCTATGGATGCCTTCTCTTCAGCCTAAGCACAGATATTTTTTAAAATGTGTATCAAAGGAAGTTAGTGGTATTTGGGGGAGAGAAGAATGGGGAAAAAAAAAAAGGAAAAAAAAAAAAAAAAAAGGAAAAAAAAAAAAAAAGAGGAAACTCTAAGTGTTTCTGATAAAAAGTAAATAGTAAAAGGCAGATATTCCTGTTCATGCTCAGACCTGCACAATTGGGCAGCTATACTATGCTGGAAATGGTGTATGAGTAGATAGATGTTTCCAAGAATTTTTCAGTAATTCAGAAAGCCTCATAAGTAATCATAGGGTAAACAGGGCACTCTTAATGAAACTTTCTAATTTGATGTGAGATCTTACCTCTTTGTCCTTTTCCTCTTAATACTTTGTTTTATTTTTATTTTTTCTCTTTTAAGCTATCGTTCATTTCCATAATGGAGAAAATACTAGAGGCATGCAGTTCAGAGCCACAAAAGAGCAGCTGATCAGCAATAATCCATGCCAAAAAAATGTGTATATGCTGGTTAATAACTTTTTCTCATATATGCTTCAGGTCAGAGGTGTAAAAGGAGTCTTTCTGGCCAACCAGAAGATTGATGGGAAAGTTACAACCCTAATAACCTACAACAAAGGCCGTGACTGGGATTTTCTAAACCCTCCAGACATTGATATGAATGGAAAACCTACCAACTGCAAACCTGTAAGTGGTCCCATCCTCTGTCTGAACTGCAAAAGAATTATTTCTATGGACAGTATGTGTAGCAGTGCAGGCAACCCAGGAGCTTTGTGCTGAGATTACCAGTTAAATTAATACACAAATCTACTTGCGTGACATGAGCAGGGATTTAGCTAGCTGTTAGTCCAGTCATCTTGTACAATGAGTCATGACTCCACCTATAGCTCTGCATTACTTATTTTAGAGTTTAATTTGATGCAAAGAAGACAGCTTTTCTTGTGTGTCATCCACGCAACCTAATTCAGAACAATCATAACAGTAAGTTGTTTCAGGATATAAGAGGCACATCAGATGCATCTTACCAATGTCTTTTTTGTTTCCATCTTTCATACTTTTATTTCATCTTAAAGCAAGATAACCCTGTTAAAGGAACTCTTGACAGTTGCTTGGAAATAAAAATCACATTTAATTGCATCAAAAAGTCTTTTTTTTTTTTTAAGTTGATGTTATTGTAGTCCTAGCTACCCATAATATCTCGTTTTTTGCGCTGTACTGAAAAACTTCATATTTTTGTCAGTGATTCTCCATTCATGGGGACTCCAGGCTCTGAATTTCTAGGCAAAATAAATGGTTTCAGTCCTGCTACTGGCAGAAATTTAATCCTTCTCCACATAGAAAGAGGAGGGCTGGAGATGTTGGCTCCTGTTTGAAAATTTCAGACTGTGCTATATGTCTTAAGCCTATGGGTCCTGAATCTGAGCTCTCAGATCAGTGGAAGAATAGCAGAAGCAGCAGCTGCTGAGCACCACTGGCAGGCAGCAATAATGACCTCCAAGTGCCACTTCAGTAAGTGCAAGAGGCAGTAAGTTGCTTAGCTAAGAGAGATGGTGATCATCCAAAAGTCATTAAACTATTTTTATGATTTTTTTTTCTAAAAAAGGAAGTTTACCTAATTTTTAAATTAATCATCATTTTACCTAATTACTTGAGACCAGCAAACATTCTAATTATTGCTGTTGCTGCTAGCTAGAGACTTTAAGCAGTTCTGTCACATGGGTTTTTTATACAATGATTTCATTCCAACTTCTTTTTTATTGTCAGAGTCAGACTATGGAAACACTCTTGTTAGATGGCTTAGCGTGGTGTTTTGGTCTAGACTCCGCTGGAAACAGCCATTCTCTGTAGGGGTACATCAGTGCAACTGTTCTCTGTGTGGGCTTTCATTATCACATAAGCGTAACTGTTACCAGCATTTTATTTTTTTTCAACCTCTGTTCTTTTTCCCCCACAAGCCTGATTGCTACCTTCACCTCCATCTCCGCTGGGCAGATAATCCGTATGTGTCAGGAACAGTCCATACAAAGGATACTGCACCAGGGCTCATCATGGGGGCAGGTAAAAGAACAACATTATTTTGCAAAACCTGAAATGTAGTACGAATTGTTGATTTAGTATTGATTTAGTATTTTGGATTATGACATCTACCGTTATAGAAACATTACTAAAATAAGGCTCTCACTGAAGAATGCTCTCACTGAAGAATGTTCTTTTACAGGATCCCTGGATCAAAAGATGTAGTAAAAGTTAATTGAATCCCCCAGAGCTCAGTCTTCTAGGACAGCTCTGTAACAGTTAATGCCATTATGTTTCTCTATGTTGTTTAGTGTCTCTCTCCCCATTAATGAAGTATGAAGCAGTGTGATGGCTGAAGGACCTGTCATGTTTCCTGGAAGTGAAGATCCTTACCATCTCCTCTGGCATCATGAACAGCCCAGTAAATCCAATAAATCTAAACAGTGGCCAAGTCTTTGTTCTTCATAAAGATCATTTGTTTTGTAATATTTACAAATTCCTTTCCAACTAAAGGGAGATGAAGTGAAAGAGGCAAGTGTGTCCTAGTGCTGAGAGCGATGCTTGTGCTGTTCCGTTATAACATGCATATGGGACCACGTTACTGTGAAGTGGAATTTAATAAAAGAAATTCCCTCAGAGTATTGACTACTCATCACTAAAAACATTCACGTTAGTCTGTTTTATTTTGTACCCTTGTGATTCATTTATTCATTTCATTTGATTTTCCTTTGCTTTAAAATCTTGAAATGTTAACAGTTAAAAAGTGCTTTTTACGTCTCATTATTTTATTCCGTTGTTCTGAACTATGTTTAGATTAAATACACACATGTATTACTTCTCTTTTCATGAAAATGTATCTGTTTTTAATCTATAATGATTTCTGCTAGTGTTTTATAGAAGGGTTATTAGGTTGAAAATTTCCTGAGAATTTCAAGGCAAACGTATTTGGTGTTGAAAGACAATGACAGTTGCTATTACTTCAATATAACTAGATTTCCTTACAGTAAATGGAGTTTAAGATATTTTACTGGAAGCAGACCTAAATGGAAAATGCTGCATTGTTTTTATTGATGAGAATGAGACTAAGAATATATAAGATGCCTTTGTGGATGCATTTCTTGGAAGTATCTAAGTAGATATTTAATTCACGTCTAATACATTTCAGTGTTTCAAAAAATAATAACCATCTCAAGGATCTTCTTTTTACATGACGGTACTTCCTATTCTGATGTAGGTTCTTACTTTATGCCTCTGCCTTTTTGAAGCAAATTAAGCAATGTGGTTTTATAAATTAGTCTGGCACTTGTATTTCATTTTTCTCTGTCCCTGCATTATAATCTGATGTGATTAATTGATACTTTGGGGGATTTTGGTTTATTTTCATTTGGTTGGGTTTTGTGGATGCTTCTTAAGTGCCTGGCTCTGAGGTGATAAAATGGATGGCATGCTGGAGAAGAGTACTTTGCACTTAATTCCTTCCTGGAAAACAAGACCATTGAGGAGTGACTGAAGAAGCTGTGACTGTTTAGTCTGGAGGCTGAGGGGAGACTCTTATTGCTCTCTGCAGGTACCTGAAAGGAGTTTGTAACAAGATGGATATTCTCTTTTCTCAGATGACAAGTGACACAGGACATGAGGAAACAGCCTCATGTCATACCAGGGGAGGTTTAGATTGACTGTCAGGAAGAATTTCTTCATGTAAGGGATGGTTAGGTATGGGGACAAGCTGCCCGGGGAGATGGTGAAGTTGCTGTCCTGAAGGTATTTAAGAGGCATGACTGTGGCAGTTAGGGACATCATTTAGAGGTGGGCTTGATAGTGCAAGGTAATGGTTGGACTTGATAATCTTAAGGGTCTTTTCCAGCCTAACTTATTCTGTATGATTTTATCACTTTGATGTCTTACCATGCCTGGTAAATAAGCTTATAATAGCTTTCGTCAATGTGGGAGCCTTTTTAATTATATCCAGATTTCATTAAGAAACAGTCTGATGTGTTAACATCTGATCTGATTGTTGAGCGACTTGTTATGGAATTAAAATGGTAGACACGCCATCACTCGTAGCCACCAGGTAAAGTAGAAAAAATTTTCCAGGGATAGTGCAATATATTTTTCTCTGGTTGAAGGTTGCAAACAGAGCAGAAGGACTTTGTTTTGTAAGTATGAAAGAGCATCTGCATGCTTGCAAACGGATGACCTGACTCAGCTCTGATTTTGTCTTGCATTTGTATGATTTGAATGCTCAGGTCATGTAGATTCAGTGCATGTCCCCAGTCTTATCTGGCAAACCTGATATCCTTGTAAACTTACCCTTCTTATCAGAAATAATTTACGTACAACAAGCTTGCATTTTTTTCTGTCCTGATTCCCAATGTTGATAATCACATGCAAATCAACAAAAGTACTAGTTTCTTTGCACATACAGAAATCAGATTATCTGGACTACATTACACTCTATTGGAATTTCACTGTTAGAATTAGTGAGAGCACATCATCTGCAAGTGGCAGATGATGATATAGATCCAGGAATGTCAGTTGATCAGTGTGACTATGAACCATCAGTGCGTTGCACTGTGGAAAAGGGAAATGTATTCAGAGGGTAAAGTAGGTAAATAATAGCCAACAGGGAGAGGAAAATATTAATTATCTGGCAAAATACTGTACTAGTAACAGTGTGTACAGTTCTGATAATCATTTTTCAGGACCAGTGAGCAGATGCTAAGAAGGACTACTTGGCAATTGGTGGAAATAGAGATTCTGTTTACATGGAGAATCCCATTAGCTGAGAAAAATAAAGGCCAATAAAGAATATGATTTATTCCTGAAAGTGTAACCGTGGGATAGAAACAAATGCAAGTAAAGAGATGTTCAGTGAATGTATGGTATAAACAACTGGATAAGAACTGGAAATCAGAGAATAGTTTGTAACCATAAGAACAATGAAACTGCTCCTCTCAGTGAGAGCATTGCAGTTACTAATCAGGAGGCCAAACAGCAGCAACAAAATCA